CTTCTCCTTCTCCTTCTCCTTCTCCTTCTCCTTCTCCTTCTCCTTCTTCTTCTTCTTCATTCCTTGGGAAAAACTTGATAAGTGTCAATTCATAAATTGCTGGAATCCTGACAGGTAGGCAGACAAAAAAATACCGAATCTGAACACCTGGCGGACAGTTCGAGAGATTTTAATAAAATGCTGCCTTTGGTTTGCATCAAAGAGCCTCTGTGGCGCAGTGGTTAGAGTGCACGACTGCAGGCTACTTCTGCTGACTGCCGGCTGCCTGCAATTTGGCAGTTCAAATCTCACCAGGCTCAAGGTTGACTCAGCCTTCCATCCTTCCGAGGTGGGTAAAATGAGGATCCAGATTGTTGGGGGAACAAAAAGCTGACTCTGTAAAACCGCTTAGAGGGGGCTGGAAAGCACTATAAAGCGGTATATAAGTCTAAGTGCTACTGCTGTTGCTATTCTTCTTTAAAAGGTGGGGCCAGTTCAAATAAAAGCGAATAAAAGGTGGGAAAAAACAAAAACAGAAATGTTCCTCCATGCCCGGAGGAAAAAAAAATAAAACGTATCATAAATTGCAAGAATTGTGTCTGTCTTTTGCAATTTGGTGTTTGGATACAGCTCCTGCTGATTTATATGTGTGTGTGTGTCTGTGTGTGTATACATACATATATATCTATATATCTATATATCTATATATCATACATATACATATACATATACATATACATACATACATATATATATATATATATAATACATATACATATATATTATATATATATGTAAGTACCCGTGAAAACTTAAGAAAAAAAATATATATATATATATATACATACACACACACACACACACACACACACACACTGTATAATACATATACATATACAAATACATATACATATTTCTTAAGTTTTCACGGGTATTTACATGTATGGTATTCAGCTTTGTTCGGGTATTTTCTCACGTCATTGTAGTTGTGCTTTTAAAGTTGCAGCGACGTTTCGGCAGAATCTCATCTGCCATCATCAGGCTTGTGTATTGGGTTCGTCATATATACACACACATATGTATGTATGTATGTATGTATGTATGTATGTATGTATATAGGCTTTGTCTGTGTGGCATTGTAGTCTGCAGGCAGCAGGTTGGAAAACAGCAAATTATTGCATTTTAAAAAATAATAATAACCGGCTCCAAGATTAGATCCCTGGCATTTTGGAACTGTGACCCCACCATTTGCAAAAAAGTTCAGGGGGATAAAAAAAAATATAGCAGGACATTTAAATGACGAGCCCATCGCGGGTTTTAGCCGGAATCATTACAGGAACACCGCCAAATTGTCCCGGGTGGCTCCGTTTTCCGTGGCTTGCGTCCCGGTCACAAGTGGGAGAATCTGAATTGGGGCTCTCGTGGCACGGAGGTTGAGAAGACGCCGAGGCGGCCGATTTCGCGTGGCTGTAGGAAGGCCCACTGGGGTCGTAATGAACGCGGGCCTTGGTGGTGACCATGGGAGGATGGCCGCTGGCCGGGGGTGAGGCGCAGGAATTCGGACTCAGCTCTGGGTCCCGATTCGCAGAGACCATCTCGACCCCTTCTTGTTCCAGGGGAGACTCGTATTTCCGGCGTTGCATGAAGCTGATGTTATGGGGGAGGTAGCCCAAGACGGATCGCAGGCTGCTGTTGCGGCTGTCCGGTCTGGGCCTGGGGGCAGCGGTGTCTACTCTGGAAGGGGAAGCAGAAATGTTACTCTCTCCTCTGTGCCGTTTTAGGGTCTGTTTCCAAGGAAGCCCCGCCGGGAAAGAAAGAGAGAGGTGGCACAAAGGGCAGCCTTAAAAGAGGTTTTGGGCACTCTTATGAGTCCTGGAGTTGGAAGCAATCTGGAATCCCTGAGGCCATCCGGTCTGACCTCTGCTAAAGAATTTAAATTAAAGCATCCTGCAGAGATGGCTACCTAGGTTCTGCTGGTGCTCCTCAGTTGAGGAAGGAAGTGGAAGAAATGTTAGAGTAAAAAGGGAAGGAAGGAAGGAAGGAAGGAAGGAAGGAAGGAAGGAAGGAAGGAAGGAAGGAAGGAAGGAAAATAAAGAAAGGGAAAGGAAAGGAGGAAGGGAGGAAGGGAGGAAGGGAGGGGGGAAGGGAAAGAAGGGAAGGAAGGAAGCAAGGGGGAAGGGAAGGAAGGAAGGAAGCAGCAAGGGAGGAAGGGAAGGAAGGAAGGAAGGAAGGAAGGAAGGAAGGAAGGAAGGAAGGAAGGAAGGAAGGAAAACAAAGAAAGGGAAAGGAAAGGAGGAAGGGAGGAAGGAAGGGGGAAGGGAAGGAAGGGAAGGAAGGGAAGGAAGGAAGCAATGGGGGAAGGGAAGGAAGGAAGGAAGCAAGGAAGGAAGCAGCAAGGGAGGAAGGGAAGGAAGGAAGGAAGGGGGAAGGAAGGGAGGAAGGGAGGAAGGAAGGAAGGAAGGAAGGAAGGAAGGAAGGAAGGAAGGAAGGAAGGAAGGAAGGAAGGAAGGAAGGAAAGGGAACATTTCTCTGAGAAAAGGAAGGAAAGAAGAAGAAGAATAAAGAAAAGAAGGAAGGAATTTTGTGAAAGGAAAGGAGAAAGAGGGTGGGAAGGAGAGAGGGAGGGAGGGATGAAGGAAGGAGGAAAAAAGGAAAATTGTGTGTGAAAGAAAAGAGAGAAGAAAGACAAGAAGGAAGCAGGAGAATTTTGTGTTGAAAGAGAAGGAGGGAAAGAAGGAAAGAAGGAATTTTGTGAAGGGAGGGAGGGAAAGGAAAGAAGGAAAGGAGGGAGGAGGGGGGAAGGAAGGGGAAAATTTCTGTGTGAAAGAGAAGGAGGAAAAGAAGGAAAGGAGGAGAAAAGAAGAATAAGGCATTTTGAGAAAGGAAAGAAAAAAAGAGGGAAAGGGGGAGGGAAGGAAAGAAGGAAGGAAGCCAGGAAGGGAGGAAGGGAAGTTAGTTCTGAACCCTTGGAAGAGAGGTTACAATCCAGTAAAGACCAGAAGTTTGAGATTCCAGGGTCTTATTTTATAAAATAAATAAAAGATTCTTGGAAGAGACGCTGCAAATCCCACCCGTGCTCTGGGATGGACTGATGGCACCCTGATCACAGCCTCGTTCGTTCAGTCTCCCAGGGCCCGGAGGAGAAGGCACACGAGGTGCTCAAACTCTGTCTCTGTATCTCCCCCACAAACCCCCTCCCTCTCTTCCTCTCACCCCTCCCTCCCTCCCTCGCTGGCCTCCCCCCCCCCTCACCTGATTTGGTTGGATTCCTTCTGGCCGCGCTTCTTCTTGCAACAGCGGACAAGACAGACAATGAGGCAGATGAGCAGCACCAGGAAAAGCAGCGAGCCCAGCACAGCCCCCACGATGATGGTCAGAAGTGGGGAATCTGGAGGAGGAGGAGGAGGAGGAGGAGAGAGAGAGGAAGATGAGGACACCGAAGTGAGGTGCTATTGGCTGGAAGGAGCTGGCTTGTGCCAAGGATCTTGACCACGGATCATGGTGAAAGATGCTGGCTAGATTTCCTAATTTAGCTGGGATCTGGATATTTCTCTAGAGAACGTGGTGGTGGTTTCCTCGTGTCTGAAGACTTCCACTCCTTCCTTTCTTCCTCCCCTCCCTCCCTCCGTTTTCACCTCTCTCCTTCCTTCCTTCTTGCCTTCCTTTTTTTTCTTTTCCTTCTTTTTCTTTCCTTCTTTTCTTCCATTTTGCCTTTCCTTCCTTCTCTCTTTTCTTTCCTTCTTCCTTTCCTTCCTTCCCCTTCCTCCTCCCTCTTCACC